CTCTGTTTTACCATTCGTCAGTCATCGATCTTTTTTCCCTCGCTCGCTTCGTTCCCGAGTCTGGCGAACTTTGAATACGCGCGTAAAGAATAAATGATTCTTTCGTATGCTTGTAACTCGTTCGTTTGAACGAGTTTGAACTTGAGTTTTAGCTTGATGAGGTATTCGATGGGATGCGAGGATATAGGAAGATCTAGGGATATTTCATAGGGAAATTGGCGGGAAGATATGTCGACATGTCGAATATATGATTCTATTTTGTTTTTAATGTTTGAAACATTTGCAGATGTAGAAACACTTTGGAAACAAATTTATGCAAAGGATCTTGAAATAAATTAAAATAAAAAGCTTAATTTTCGAAATAAATTAAAAAATATATTTAAAAATGCGATACTAACGTAAGCCCCTAAGAAATCTAAGCCAAGTTTGGAAATTCTGGATTCTGTTACGTGTGCAAAAAAATAAGACACTCGAAGTTAATAACGAATAAAGAGAGTGGGAAGAAGAGAGGAAAATTTTTGCAACATAATAAAATGGTAAAAAACAAAACGGAACACGTAAGCCTCGTAGGAGTCATCCAGTTTAGGAAACGAACGGAGCTGGTTGAAGGGCACTGAGCCACGGTGACTCACCGATAGCTATACGACGAATTCGCTGGATCAATGTCAACGAATTCCACGTATCGACCGCTATGCGCTCACCGGAACATCCGGACTTCTCTTGAATCTGGAATCTGGCCATCTCGATGTCTACGCGTTCCCCATTTAAATGAATCACAAACATTTTGAATTTAATAATCATTAATTTTTAAAAACTTGACAGGGGTGAATCTTTTTTTTTTTCCTCCTTAAATTTTTCTGACAATGTAAACTTTTTCTAATAAAAAGAATTTCAAAATCTTTTCCAAAATTGTGTAAAATAATATGCGAAATAAATAGAACAGGCAAAAATTGTGGAAAAATAAAACGACATTTCTTTTTTGTAAAATAAAATTATAATCCGTTAAAAATAATTGTTAAAATCGATAAATTTTGTCAAATTTTAAAAAAAGAAAATTTTCCATCGAACGTAAAATGCAATTTATCGAAAATTCGCCTTTAGTTAACCCGAGGCGAAGATGAAGCGAAGTTTCGTCGAAACTGTGCCATCGGTGGCGAAGTTTCTATCAGAACGTGAACAACCGAGAGATTTGCGAACCCCGGGAAATGCGTTTGAGTTTGGGAACCCCCAGACTGGAGGGGATTGCCCCAGACACCCCCTCCAGCAAACGGATCTCCCTCCACCATGGCTGTAGCTGCTTCTAGAACCCTAGCCAGCGTCAATGGCACGGGGTGCAAAACCCTGTCTGCTTGATAAACCGTTGCACCGCCCACGCACGGTAAACCTAATATGGTGCATTCATTTGTGATGAAAAAAATTCAATACCAAAAAAAAAAAAAGAAAAAGAAAAAAAAGAGTTAAAAATTTTCAAGAAAAAAATAAGAAAAGAGGAGAATAAATAATCGTATCGATAATCGAATAAATGGATTATTCGTCTTTCCGTTTCAGATTTATTTTAATCAATATCGTATTTCGTATATATATAAAATTTCTTTGGAAAAATGGAAGGATTAAAATAAATTAAGCATCGAATAATCATACGTGATCAACTAGAGATATTAGATTTTCTTCAAGAAGGCTCTCCCGCATAATGTTTTGCAATTAGCCTTTAAACTTTCTCTGTTAATTAAGATTAATGGGCGTTCGTGTTATTAGAGAGCGGGCGGTATGATTGTTTCAATTGCCTCGAAAGTGATAAATTTTCTCTAAAGTTTTCCCTTTCGTTACAACGTTCGTCACGGTTAAAATGATGATCGTCATCGAAACCGAAACATCGTTATTTTCAACGAAATCAATGAATTTTCCTTAAGTAACAACCACACAAGTTTTACATACCGAAACATTTGTATGATCTTGAAACATCTTTGGATTTTGCATTTAATTATCGTGACATTAAATACAATTGATAATTTTAAATTCAAATATCAATCATCAATTGATAATGAAACTTTGTAAACGAAACTTTTACGATAATTCTACACTTGTATTACAATTAATTTCATCATTTCAGCAGAAACTCATCTTCGAATTCATTGTATCATCAATCTCGATGCATAATCACCTCAAAGGGCATGCTCGTAATTAGTCATTACAGTTGTTTAATCAATAGTCCAGATTGATACACGTGGACTGAATGTAAACAGTCGGTGTATTTCGGTGTCATAGGCTATGTAACAGCGCTACGAAAGCTGGGGTTGCGAACCCCAGCAAGGTATCCAACCAGCCAGCCAGCCAGACAGACTAGCATGAAAGGGGGTGACCCAGACACCCCCTCCACTGCGTTGTTTGCAAGCAGCTCGACTACCGCATTGGATAACAATCGGAGGGTTAAATGCACTAGCGAGCCAGCAATAATCAAATTGAATGCCTGTGATCAAAAATTAAAACGACACTCAAGGTCGAGTGTAAACGTTCGATCGTGTAATCATGAATCATGAGTATTTGCATCGATAAATTTTTTCTATATGAAAATTTTTTACCTAAAAATGCTTTGAATGTCCCTGCTGATTGAACTTTTATTATCCGCAATGTTGCAACAACAATGTTCGTTTCATTTACATCAATATCTTATTTTTTTTTTTTTTTTGCGTACATATCTTATATAAATTTGAATCTGAAAAATTAATAAAAATAGAACTTAGCTTGATCTAATAACAAACAAGAATTTATGTATGTAGGGGAAAAAAATGTTATCGATGATTTCCTTTGTTTGAAATCAAAAATCTTATAAACTTATTTGTCCATAAATATTAATCAATTTATGGATATTAATTTGATAAATAAATATATATTCGTAGCTAATAAAATTTAAATAGTCATTAATATATTATTCCATATATTTTACCCGATAATTGTTAAAAATAATAATCTCTATGAGTTCGCAGAAGATGGCGCATCATGACACGGAAACGGGAGGATAAATAAAGGAGAAAGATCGAGAGGAAGGGCTGGCTAACTAGCTGGTTGAGAGGGGTGGGACGCTAGGAAAGAAGGAAGGGCAGGAGAACGTAGGGAGGGAAGGATGATATAGGGTGAGGAAGGGAACGGGGAGAAAGAGAGTGAGAGGAGGGCGGCCGTGGTGTTGCTGACCCGACGACCGCTGTAACCTTGCGTCCCGACGCCGCGCATCCAGATCAAACCATCTCATGGATTATCTGAAGACCTTTGGATTCTAGGCAATCGCGTATACATACATCCATTTAGAAACCATCCTTTGCAATATTTTAGAACAGATCCTCCTGGCATGTAATATTTTCCCTTATTTTATATGTTTTTAAATAGGTATTAATCGATTTAAAATTATAATAATTAATAATATCGATATCTAATACATTATAGCTGATAAATTTTTAAACATTGAAGATTGAATAATAAATGTATAATGATATATACTTTTGATTATATGAAAAATCTATGTCGCATTCTTCTACGAACTCTGTTGAAACTCCATTGAAATATATAACTATCACATTTGCATTACACGTTATGGAAAACCGTTGTCGATATTATGCAGAATACATATAGACCGCTCTATTATCATTTACATTTTTATGAGAGTCAACCCACCCTTTAACCAGGATGTACGCTTCGTCTATGCATGTAAGTGTCATGAGATACATGATGCATGATTCTTATGGTAAAATTTGTAATAAAATGTCTATAGAAACTATATTCATTAGAAATACTATAGATTCTCAGATTTGTTAAAAATATTTGTTAACTAATGCGTATGTTAAATTTCAATATCAAGATCATCTTAGATCAACGTCTACGTCAACTTAGATCTATTTAAAATCTTTATCCTTAATTAAAATCTATAGAATCTACGTGAAATCATTTTTTAGATATGACGTTTTTTTAAAAAAAAAATATATGTTATAGTCTTTGAATCTCTTTTCGCGCGCTTTTTACGTTCATATAAAAATATAATATTATTATTTATTATAATATTTTTATCATAAAAATATTTCATTACTATTTAATTTTCAATTCTATTAATTTCTGTATCTAATAAAATATTGACATTAGAGAAATAAATATCTCTAAATATAATTCAATATTTTATTTAATTTTATTATCTGATAATATTTGGATTTTTTGAAGATTCCAAAATTAGTATTCTGCCATCTTGAAGAAAATAACTACACTTGTATGATAAAATATATCTTTCCATCACATGAAATATTGAATAAATATTAGAAAACTATATTATCAATAATTGTTTGTAAAAGAAATCTTCCTTAACTATTGATGCTAAATTAATTTATAATTTTAATTTTCTAACGCAAGATGGCAGTGTATGAAAAGATATCGGAAATCAATATTTTTTTTTATGGAATTGAATATTATATTTATAATAGAAAAATTTATTTATTATAGAACTATTATTTTAAAATTTTTAACTGCTTAAATTTGGTATTTTTTAATTTTTTGCAGCTACAAGAATTTAAAATTATAAATATTTTGGCGGTAGGGTTAAATCATTTCTTTCCCGCCATGTGGCGTCATAGTCACATCGTGCCGGACATGCTGCACCCGAATTTGTACCGCCATATTGTCTCTTACGAGCAAGAAAAAACATTGTGATTACGTGGTGTAATTTTATTCGAAATTCAAGAAAAGTTGATTATTTGATGTATTTGGATTTTCATTCTAATTATTTATTGAATACGTGCAGAAGATAGAGAAGAAATAAAACGCCAATCGTTAAGTAATTACACAGGTATGTCGATCATTTTGTACAGACCTCGTGTTGGTGTGACTCGCCTAGCGGCTTTCCTTTGTTATCTTTTAGTTACTATTATATAAAACTCATAAGATTTCTGAATTATCTCTAATTAATGTTTAAGACCAGTGTTCATTTAAAAAAATTCAATTATTTGTCAAATAAGTGACTTTTGGTACATAATTCGTACATGCTGATTGTGGTTATTTTCATCGAATGTGACCGACAGTTCACGAGATTTTGCCTAACCGAATACGGGAATATCATCTGAAAAGAAAATAAATTCGATTATTTTAAATATATGATATGTGACATGTGTTATTTCGTGAATTCCAACATTTTTTCATTCATTTTCTTGAGAATACATTTTTTTGCATGCCCATTCTTTCCCTCTTTATGGTGAAATATCGATGCGTCGAAGTTATTAGAAAATTTTTAGAATACGAGCAATACGTAACATTTGGAAATAACATATTCATGGAAAAATATATTCAATAATCCTCTTTGTCTTATTCTTTATATTTATATATATATATATATATATATATTTTATATATTTTTATATCCTTATGATCGCATATGAATGAAGACGCCAATTAAAAACAATATATATGAAATTAATAGATTATGTCAGATACTATTGATCATCATTAAGAAAGAATGTTTAGTATATTTATCTACATTTTTTACCTTCGTTACCTTGTTATTCTTCAGTACTTATTAACTACAATCGATAAAGCATTTTAAAAACAACCATTTAAACAGTGATTGATGCACGTGAAATGTTTTATATTATATCGTGTTCTTCCATGTGTGTACGGGCATTTAAAGGGTCAACAGACTGTAGAGTCAGTTTTAGTTACGTGCTATTTCTAAGATACGTCTGTTCGGTTTCCAATCACCTTGCTTTCTAAGGCAGTTGTCCCTGAATATGGCATTGGTTATTTCCGTATACATATTATGTATATATTCGAATTATAGTTTAATCGTTCGAGTATAATCACGTGGTTACTTGTATAAGAATGAAGTATCATATTATTTTTAGAAAAGTATTTAAACTAATTTTTATAATAAATTATTACAATATATATGTAATTTTTTAAATATTGATAAATAAAATATCAAATATAATCAAAACATAGTGTTTGTCATTTATATAATATATTGTCAGTTAATAGTTACAATTCATATTATGATTTCTGTTTTTATCTTGCTTGATAATTTATAATTTAAAAAAAATATTGAAATGTATTTCATCTCTTTTAATTACATTCGTTCATATTTAATAATATAATAATATATAATAATAAATATATAATATATAATAATAATGATTATAAAATATGAAATTATGTATTGACGATATTAACTTTCAAAAACTTTAAAAAAAAATTGTTATTTTATAAATTTTATATTTTATTCATTATGTAATATAATTAAATCATTAAATCATATTAATGAAAATTAATAGAATTCCAATAGAATTCTTATCATATCTCCATAATTATCTTTATTTTTTTATATGATATATGAATATAGAATATTTAAATATAAAAGTAATAATATTTATGAATTCTTACAATATTGATTAATATATTCCAAATTTAATAGTAAAATTTAATAATAAAAAATTATTTTTATAATACTTTTAAAAATTATTTTTTAAATAATTAATAATTTTATTTAAAGTTCCATTTATAAAAAAATTTGGCTTTAATCCATGTGTACAAATAAACAAATCTCCGTACACGCAAGGCTATTCTTATGTATATGTGATAAAATAAATTTATAGACGTTGGATTTATAATATATAGAATTGGATTTACTATCAATAGATGATTTTATTATCAATATAGATACGATGTAAACATAAGGCATCTAATCTATAGCGATAGAAAATATACCAGATTAGATCGTCGAAGGTTATTTAATTAAGGATAATTTACGGGTTATTTAATGGCCAAATTATTTATATCAATATAAAATATGATACATGAATTTTCAAAAATATTTCAATTGTTAATATATATTAATATATATATTAATATATAATTAGTTTATTTTTATTATTCAATTTACTATTTTTTGTCAATATATATAATCGATTATACTCAATATCAGTTATATATAGTAATTGCTTTATAATATCTTAATTCTTTTTTGTTGTATCAGTTACATATCAATGTATACTTTTACATAACATGATTATAAATTTTTGCATTATAAGACATTCTTTTTACGATCAGTCTTTGATCTTTAATATGCTGATTTATACATGAATTGAAATATTATCCATCAAAAAATTATTATTTCAACGGTTAATATAAAACTGTTTGAACGAGTAGTTCACACATTTTCCACAGAGGGTGCTGAAAAGTTTGTACGAAAACGTGTTTCACGAGTGCAGCAGGATCTTTCTTTTGTATTTCTTTTTGTTGTGGCTTTCATCGTCTTTCTCACGGGTTTCTCTTCCTCTTTTCGTTCTCTTTCTCCGTGATACTCGTTGTCCATGCTCGGTTACTTCATCGTTCTTTACGTGTACAGGTTGAACATTCCAAGAGCACATTGAACCGCCGCGGTCACCTTCATTTCATGCATTTCTATGCTGACGTTGTGTATAACGATCTTACTGAGTAAATTTGCCACTCGGACGAGTGCTTCCCTCTGTCCACTGATAAAACGAATACATGCGAGACAAATTTAAATGACGCTTACAAATAATGTTATAAGTCATAATACGCGACTTCAGTCATCGATACAATAACCGCGGTAGCATGTGTTATTTCAAAACGCGATGAAAGTATTTTTTAAACGTGATGGAAATACAGTTTGGTCGTCATCATGGAAAAGTGGCAAGAGGACCTAGATCTTTCTTGTATCTGGGTATATTTGAGATAATATCTGTTTTCGAAATCAATTATTGGATCATGAATCACTTAGTGTTTAAAAACATTAACATATCTAATTTAATTTATCATACATGTTTTGTGTTCAGTGATTTAATAAAAACTTCAAAAAAAAAAGAAGAATAATATTTGTTTGTGCATAATTAATTTATATATAGCAGTTAATTTGTGCATTTAGTGAATCATCGAAATGATCGATATATGTCTTGTGGTATGTAAACCCTTTGATTGAAAATTTGAAATTGAAAATTTTTATTCTATAAAAAAATAAATCCACGCATAACCTAGTTCTTGAAGCGTTCTACAATCTCCATTGGACAACCGGTTTCATTTTAATTTAACTTGTTTTTTTCCATTGCTCAGTATGTATCCCTTCTCTTTTTTAGGTAGCATGGGTAAGAAAGTTTAAATTGTGCCTCACCTTAGCTGATCTCCTTTCTTATTTTAATATATTCTATACTGAAAAAGATCAAGTAGCTATTGAATTTATCCTTTTAATGAAAATATTTGATGATAATTAGCAAATCATTTTATTTGTTCGTTTACTCATTATTCGTTATCGTTCAAAATAATTATAACTTATGTTTGCGAAAAATGGAAAAGAACTTTGGATTTTTTATAAAAATGATTATGATGTATAATTTATAATTATAATTAGTAATAATATCAATAAAACTATGAAACTATTCACACTTAATGACTATTCACGCAAAATTTATGCCTAATGACTATTTGATATGCAAAAGAAAAAAAGGATCATTTAAATTTTGATTTAGATTATAATAAATTAGAAGAGATATTGTCATATTTATTTGATGATTATATATTATAAGCGAAATATTATTAAAAAAATTAATAATACATTGTGTAATGACTAGAAATATGCCGATTTTATTGTGCAAATATAATATTAAAGAAATCATTGTCGTTAAATTTTTCTAAAACAACTTTCAATTTAAAGATGAAAAATCAATATCATAAAAAAATTCAAAATAGCATACGATTTAGATGATATATCATTAAAGATTATTCCAAGGAAAAAACAAAATTTAGCATGCGATTAACAATCATAATAAATACAATTGATTATACATTATATTTAATATAAAAATTAAATTTTAAATTGTAATTTGTGATATAATTAAAAATTATATTATAAAATATAATATTATTATATTGTCATAATATTATCTCTATATTATTATGATATATTTAATATTGAAAATGTAATAGCATTACATTATTATTATACATATATACAGTATAATTATATTATCATACTATATTTATAGTTTATTAATATTATTAGTGTAATCATTGTCAGATTTGTCATATTTGTCATGTAATTAATTTCGTTATGTAATTAATTATTATACTATGATTAATATAATATAATGATATTGTGTTATTATATTTACTGATGAATAATTTATATTGTGATATTATATATCATTAATATGCTATTATATTATCTATAATTACAATATCTAAATTAATAATTATTATCAAAAAATCAATAGTCTTAAAAAAATTATGAAGATTTAAAGTTTGTAATTATAAATTAAAAACATAATATTTCATCTTTCATACTATATAATACGTTCGTAAATGTACATAATTTTTTATACATAGTATCGTACAACGCATGAATGAATGTAGATCGTATTCGTTCAGTATATATTTGCATGCGATCATTATATGAATCAATGCTGATGGAATGTTCATATGACATAATAGATTTATTACTTGTCATACGGAATATGTTTTCTTTACATTTCTATTTCTCACCATTCATGGTTCATATTTGTCATATTTGTTTTTTTTTCTTTTTTAATTATATTTTTTTTATACATTTCTTAGATAAAAAGTTTAATTAAAAAAGTAAAAATATGTGTAATTACAAACATTGTTATTAAACAAAACGAATATATGTATTTTTTTTATTTATCATGTATAAATCGAGAAACTTTCTATGATTAGCAAATAGTTTTTTTTTTTACAAATAGCATGAATACCCGTACGAAATGGTTTATATGTATAAGATTACATACAATCATTCGAAATTATATTCTATGGTAACACCCGTATGATGAAAACCTATGATTTTATGCAATGTTGCGTAATCCCTTCCTTTGATCGTCAATTTTAACCTTTTACTTTTCAACACAGATTTCGCGATATATAGGATAAGCTAACTTTCTGAATTATATTATTCGAAAAATTTATATACCACTTTAAAATTACAAAATTACAAACAAAATTACAAAATATGTGTTATACTTTTTCTACGTAATACGATTCTAGAAATCATAATTGTTTATCGCAATTGTTATTATATAAGATATATTATTGGCAATACTAATTAAAAGATTATTTATTTAGATAACTGATAATATACTTTAATGCATTATTTGATAAATAGTGAATAACATTTGCATCTATAAATGCATGTATAAATGTATATAATTAGTCATGTTATTTTTTGAAATATGTTACCTTGGTAATAGAAACCACTTCCGCGTCTTTTACTCACAAACCATTTTCTAAAATTAAATTTGGCTATTCTATATTCGATACATATTGAAATTTTTATACTAACTTAAATATTAAAATCAAGATTTCATTCCTTTTAACAATTGTTCTGTTCGATTTAAGATTGCGAAAAAATAGAAGAAGAAAAGTAGAAAATTTATAAATGTTATCATTATTATCACTGTGTGAACGCCTCTTAATGTAATCGCGCCTGCGCAATTGCGAGCGGTTTCAGTTGACTCGTCTCTCTGGAGTTACCACGTGTTGAAAACCGCGATCGTTCCACTAACCGCAGTATCACGTTAGTCGTGTCAACGAGAGTGTTATCAATTCGCCTATTAATTATTTCGATAACTCTTTTCGAACTCTCGATTTTCATTTGATTAAAACCGCTCTTGATTCGTATATTTTTCAAACGAATAAACGGCTTTGTGAACACGTAGAACGATTACAGATGGAAATAAGCATGGACGTTATATGGGTGAGTCTTGTATGACAGTAAATCTAACCTTTATCATTAGAAGACTTCGTATTTGTGTTTAACAAAAATATTGATATTTCATATTGAATTGATATTTCAACTATTGTCGAAAATCAGAAAAAAATTTATCTTATTGATTGTATTTAAAAATACAATTTTTCTTATTTCGTTTTAATGGTATTTGATATTATTTTATAAAAATTAAAAGAAACAATGGAAATTTTGATTTCTCAGTTATTTGCCATAAAGAAATTTCAAGAGAAGGAAAAATTGATCATAATCACATATGTATATTATTTATATTTATTTAATATATTCCTGATTTTATAATATTTGAAAATTTTTTAATTCATTATATCTAATTTTTTTTATTGGATTTAATAACATTTTATCAAATTATGGAATCGGCTTGGATGCTTTCTTTAAACTTCAGGTATCACAGATGGAAACTACAAGCCTGCATCACGCGAGGGTGAATGCACTGTAAAGTACATCTCATAATATGCGATACAGTTTAATCGAAGATGATTCTTCTTGAAAAAAAAATAAATAAATAAAGATAATAAAAATATTTTTATTTAGTGTTTCTATAAAATATCAAATGTTTTGTTCATTTTAAATTTATATTATATGTTACAAAAAATCTTGTATGATTTGTATTTATATTACTTATATTAAAATACATATATATATATTATTATATCAAAAATTATAATTAATTAATTATTTAATAATATATAATATATATTAATTAATAATATATAAATAAAATTAGTTTTTTCATTCAATCTCACGATATCATAAATTTTGTACACGTTGAATTATGTGATTTCTAATTAAATGAAATTTATCAAAGCATACGACAAAAATTTTTGATATGATTGATAAATATTAAATGAATAAATTGTTCTCATATTTTTATTTTTTAGATTCATAAATGTAATGTAATAATATACATTTATAATTTGAATTTATATAATTACTTTTATTGTTTAAAAATAATTTTCGTCCGTATTAAAGAAAATTTGTATTTTCATTTTATCTTTAAGAATTAATTTGAATTAAAAAATAATAGTTTATTCTTTATTGAATAAAAATCTTTTTATTTTCAAGAAATTATTAATTAATAATATATTATAATTATAAAATATATATTTATCATATTATCATTTTTGTGTTTATATATTAATCTAATATATTAATCTAATTAATCTAATAAATTAATCTAATAATTTATTAACATGATTTATTAATTGATATCATATTATATATCATATTATATAACTGATGACTTAAGATTTAATTTTAATTCTTCTATTATATTAAGAATATATATAAAAGTGAATTTTAATTCATTTAATTTTTTTCATATTAATGAATAAAATAATGAATGATTCAGATGTTTTTTAAATTTACGCTTTCATATTTATAAAACAAAAAATTTATTTGTATATAGACTTTACTGTTAATTAAACTATTCGAATGAATATAGTTGGGACCGGAAATTATGCTTACGAAACAGTAATTAACAAAGGAAACCGAGTAAGACGAGAGGCTAAATAAGAATTAAATTTCATTGACTTTGCGCGGTCATTGTAAGATGATGATTATTTTAATATAGAACACTAAGATATAACTAATAACTAACATTAAAATAAAATTTATTAATTTGTATTCAAAATAATTGTATTATTTTTTTTTATTACAGAATAAAAAGTTTTTTTATAACAACAGCTACAGTGGATTGGAAAAATGTCTGCTACTCATATCCAAATGGTAAAGTGGACTTTTCCAGCTTTTGCTCTTATAATTGGTCTATTATGGTACAAACGACGTCGAGCAGACAGAGTTGATCCAGGTGGAATTAATAAACCAGATCGCAACGAGAAAAATATCGCCAATCACAAAAAAGAATTACTCTATCAAATTCTAACTTAAGTTTTTACGATTCTGGCATACAAACTGACGAATCCTTCTCACAAAGTTCTTCTAATCAACCAGTAGAAGAAATCATTTGTAGTCCTAGAAAAAAAAGCGAAAGTTTAGATATTCCACAAAGAAAAAGTGGTTCACAGAATATTTCTGTACATTCTAGAACTCCTCCTAAAGACGATCAGGAATGGTATAGTTTTGTGGATTCCTCGTCGAAAATGGAAATAGAATTAGGTTGTAATCCGAAAATAAGCAATTTTGATATGGTTGCAAAAAGTATAAGTACATCCTCTTTAGAAAATACTGATGATTCTGGAAATAAAATATTAAAAATATTTGAAAATGTTATTGAAGAGGAAGAGCAAAAATTATCTTCTGAGAATAAATCAATAGAATGTCAGTACAAACGAATAGATACAAACGAAGAAAATGATATAAATAATGAATGCAATTATCTTCCAAGTAAAGAACCATCTGTTTCTACCCCATCAAAAGATAATTCTAAAACTCCAACACAAGCATTATCTGAAAGGGATTCTGCTAATCACAGTCCAGTTTCTGGTGTTTTAGAAGGTAGTGTCACAGATGAAGCCAGAAGTGAAGGAAGCACAGACAGTGGAAAAGGTAATTAACTAAATTTAAATTCAAAATATTGTATCATTAATGCAATATCATATTTTATTACAGGAGGAAGTATTAAAGGTCATACAAAAGACAATGTAATTGCAGTAACATATGAGTTTTCTATCCCACAAAATTTAGTTGGAAGATTAATTGGTCGTCATGGAAGTTTTTTGCAAAATATTCGACACAAAGCTGAAGTACATATAGTCGTTAAACGTCATCCTGTATGGAGAGATCAAAAAATTTGTGCCATAGAGGGTTCCGCGGAAGGAATTAACATCGCCCTAGATATGATACGACAAAAATTTCCTGAGAAGAAATATCCTCATGTGACTCTTGAACAGATTTTACCATTAAAAATTCCAGAAGAGATCCCGTGGGTCACTGAGTTAATGCAGTTATCATTAGTAGAGGGAATGAATAATGATGTTGTTATATGTCATATAGTGAAACCAAATCAATTCTTTGTTCAACTTCCTACTCATCCTACATACCCATCTTTGAGAATTTTAGACGAAAATATGACACAATTATATGAAACAACAGAATCGCCGCCAGCTCCAGATGAACTTAGTAGTATGTTTATAATATATAATTATAATCCATTTTTTCTATTACATTATAATTAACATTCTCGTAAATAAGAAGAGTAATTAATATAAGAGATTATTATTCGTTAACTATTACTTATTTAATAAGCAACTTTATTTTAATTTACAGAAGGTATGATCTTAGTTGCAAAATGGTATAACAGGTGGGTGAGAGTATACATTGAACAACCAGATCCTCACGGAGAACAGCATTTAGTACGATTAGTTGATCATGGAGGTTATTGGGTTTTTAGTAATACTGAAATGAGAAAAATTAGGTCAGATTACCTCTCGTTACCATTTCAAGCAATTGAAATATTTTTAGCTAATGTTCAACCAAAGGACGGTAAGTATAGAGTTATATTTTTTCTGCATTTTTTTATATAAATCAATAATTGTTGCAAAAAATTGTATATCAGGTGAATGGAATCAAGAGGCTTATAATGTAGTTGCTCACGTGTGTTGTGGGATTGTCGGTCAAGCTCAAATAGTAGGTTACATCAATACAAACACATACGTTAATCTGTATCTTAATATTCATAAACACGGAGTAAGTAAATCTTAATTCTAATGAAAAATTTTTGTTGATTATAAATATATAAATCTATCATTGGCATTATATATGCTTTAATCATTTTTATCTATCTTTCTAATTTGTTGAATTTATTAGGTGATATCTCTCGCTGATGAATTAGTAGCTCGTGGTTTCGCGGAATCCATACCATTAGAAAATATAGTTCCAGAAGAAGTATCAGTTTCTTAAGGTATGCATTAGAATAGTCTTTAATAAATATATTGTAAAAAAATCGTACGGTGATAATACGTGATGATATAAATTTTTTAGTCACTAATTACATATATAATTTCGAATTGATTCTCATACTCGGAGTTTAATATTTCATAATATTTTCACAGTTTAAGGAAAAATTCCAACAAAAAATTCTTCTGAATATTAATTTGAAAGTTTCTATTAATAGAGTAGTTTTTCATATTCTATTTGATATGCTCAGTTTCATATTTATTACATTTAGGTTGAGTTATGACATAATAGCATACATTATTCAATATATTAAGTATCAATGGACATATATAATGAATTATATTTCACGAGCATTTATAAATACTCCTCGTGTATGATTTGTGAGTACAAATGTGAACTATTATGTTTAGAATGTGGCATTTTTATGTGCATGGTTAAAAATTTTTTAATATTATTTCTTATATTAGTAAATGAAAAAAATTTAGATAAAGTTAACAGACAATAGAACGTAATTAAGCGAAAGAAAATACTTTTCTTCACGTACTTATATATATATATATATATATATATATACACACATATATATATATACATATATACTCTATACAAAATACGCGATAGTATTTAATTAACTACCAA